AATTGGTGAGTCTGAGTATGGACTTTAAATATTTTGATTTAATATCTTTCAAGTGTAAAATCGTTAAGGCCCAGCTCTACCATGATAGCCAAATTCCACGGTCACGACCTGATTTATGAGCCCTTTCTCAAGGCCGCCTCTCTCTGCCTGCTCATTGGAGTATAGTTTACTTCGAATCACCCTTTTTCGTTTGTTTTTTGAGACAAGGTCTCCAGGTTGGCCTTGAACTAGTAATTTTCTTGCCTTAGCCCCCACTTTTGCTAGGATTACATGGTGCACTGTTGTGGGCTTTAGTTGTGTGTGTGTGTGTGTGTGTGTGTGTGTGTGTGAGCACGCATGCGTTGTGCGCTCGTGATACTAGGGATCGAACCCAGGCCTTCACACTGAGCTGCATCCCCAACTCACTTTTTCTTTTCTTTTCTTTTCTTTTCTTTTCTTTTCTTTCTTTTTCTCTTCCTTTCTCTTTCTCTTTCCCTCCCTCCCTCCCCCTCTTCTCCCTCCCTCCTTCCCTCTGTTGTTCCTTCTTTTCTGTCTTTCTTTCTCTCCCTTCCTCTCTCCCTGCCTGCCTGGGCTACCTAGTGAGTTTAAGGCCAATCTAAACTATATGCATAGCAAGACCCTGTCTCAAGAAAAAAAGAAAGAAAAAGTTTTGTAAATAGTGGTTAAATCTTCAACAATTCCAAAAACTTTTGTTAAACAATGCAGCGATCGTATTTTGATGATGAGACTCCTAATTGACTAGCCTACCTTTATAATGTTTGCTTATTATATATAATTCACAGATATCCGAAAGGCTGAGAGGTGGTTCTTTTAACATATTTATGTGAAAACACAGAATTCAAGTGTGAGTCTCTGAATACATTCCTGCCTTATCTCAGGAGGAGCATTTTCTGTCCTGAAAACGCTGAGTAGCTTGGAACATATTTCTCCAGCTGAGCTCCACCCTTTGCAGAGCCCGGGGGGAGCCCCCCACTGCAGTGTGCCCTGCAGTCCCCGGTCAGGGACCCTGCTGGGGTGACACAGGCTGTGGGTAAATGTGCTGCACTCTGGCTGGGCCTGCCTTCGCTGCTGCTCCTAGGGGGCTTAGTCCTTTAAGCTTGCTCTGTGGAGGAGCATGCAAAGTTCCTAAAAGATGACTTGACTTCCTGCTATTGTACATGGACGCTTTGAAGAAAAAGATCTTTTTCCTTCCTGACGTCTTCCCTCCAGGCCGTCACCGATGGGTTCAGTACACCACCGAGATGAACGGCAAGAACACTTTCTGGGACGTGGACGGAAGCATGGTGCCGCCTGAGTGGTGAGCTGCACTGGAGTGGTCTGCCTTGGCACTGCACGTATATTTACTGAACATCCTTTTTTTTTTGGTCTTTTTGACACAAGGTTTCACTATACATTTCAGGCTGGACTTGAACTCCCTTGTAGCCCAGGCTGGCCTCGAACTTGAAGTGATCCTCCTGCCTCAGCCTCCCTAGTGCTGGGGTTACAGGAGTGCCCCACCATACCGCCCTGAATATCTTCTTATAGGACAGTGTGGTATTTTTCCTGAAAGAATTTCTTAGTTACCATGGCTGCATAACAAATTAACCTAAAATTTAGTGGATTAAAGCAGTGATCTTTTGTTTTTGAGACAGAGTCATGCTATGAAGTTTAGGCTGGCTTTGAACTCCATATGTACCCCAGACTGGCTTTGAATTTATAGCAATCCTCCTGCCTCAGCCTTCTTGGTCCTGGGATTACAGTCAAGTGCCACCACATCCAGCAGTATAATGTTTTGAAGTGAAATTCTAGATGCACTTAATTGAATCTCCAGTTTTTGATGAAACTGTTTCAGAGCAGAGTACTTCTGTCTGTAGTACAGATTGCTGAAGTAATGCCATATAGTTGCTATATTTTTGTTTTGTTTTTTGTCTTTTTGAGATAATGTCTTGCTATGCAGTTCAGGCTGGCCTTGAGTTCACTTTGTAGCCCAGGCTGGTCTCGAACTCACAAAAATCCTCCTGCCTCAGTCTCCTGAGTGCTGGGATTACAGGCATGTGCCACCATGCCTGGCCACATGGTTACTATCAAATCAAACTAGAAAACCTTTTCCAATTGGTCTAGAAAATTTCCGCCCAAATTAGAAAGAAGTATATTAGCCTGACTGTGGCATTTTCCTTCAGCCGATCATCAGAAATCGTTCTGGACTCTGCTGAGTAGAAACTGGGGTAATGTCAGCTTCTCCTCTCCACTGTGCACCTCCTGGAATGGCAGGGCTCTGTGGTAGGGGAGGGTTTCGTGTCCTGCATTTCGGGAAGCGAGGGCACAGCCGAGTACTGCGTGCTGTTTCTCAGGCGCCTGTGGCTCAAGGTTGTCCTTGTGCCGCGGCAGCGCGTGGTAGGGGCGCGGTGCAGACTCCGTCAGCCAGTGTCCTCTCATTTCCTAGCCCTGTCCAAGGTTCAGCCTTGGTCACAGGGGTGTCCTTCATGGCCAGACAGTCGCATGTTCCACGTCAGCCTCTTGGCTCTAGTTTCCTTCACCCGGGGCTGGGTCCTTAGCGTTTCCTTAATTTTCGTGACCGTGGTCCTCCTGGAAGTGCCGTGGCAGTTTTGTTACAGTGACCTTGGAGTGGGTTCGTTGGTGGCTTCCTCCTGACTCTGTTCAGACTGTGCTTCTTTGAGGGGCGTGTAGCTAAGCATCACAGAAGCAAAGCGGCACCCGCTTCTGCTTTGTCCCACTTTAATGAAAGCTTCTGTTCCTTGGAAGACGTCTACCAGATTCTTCCAGTCTAAAGTTAATTCATTCTCCCTTGGTTATTAATTAACGTTTTGTGCAGAGATACCTGAAAGTTTTTATATCCTATTACTCATCAAACTTTTAATCTGTTCATTTAGTTATTGAATTTAGGGCTTTCACGCTCAGCTATAGCCCCAGCCCTTTTTTACATTTTTATTTTGAGACAGGATCTCACTGAGTCACTAAGTTGCCCGGGCTGGTTTCAAACTTGGGATCCTCCTGCCTCCGCTTCCCAGAGAGCTGGAATTACAGGCATGCTTCACCACACCTGGCTTATTGTTGGTTCTTTCATTCCTCACATTTAAGCTCAGTTTGACAGTGGGAACTCATCCAAAGCAAACAAACATTTAATGATTGAGGCCCTTCTTGTGGGTGAGAAGGAACCTCCTCCCATGAAGACGTTGTCGAACTGACAGCAGAGCGCTTCATATTACATCAGCGGTTGTTAGAGCAGCAGCCAGAGCTTGGAGGATGGAAGTTGCTCTGCTGTGGGTTAAATGCTGTCAGATCGCGTCAGATGCTACAGAGACGTCTTCGTCAGAATCAGCCAAGGTGGCATACTTCATTGTTGTTTCATTTGAAGATTGCTAGGCGTGGGGGTGTAGCTCAATGGTAAGAGTGTATGCTTAGTGTACTGGAGTCCCTCGGTGCAGCCCCCAGCAGAGAGAGAGGAGGAGAAGGAGTTGGAGGGGGGAAGGGAGGAAGAAACAGCTGCAGCTACCCCAGCCTTTACACTGGTCAGCAAGAAAAGATATTAAAATTGAAGTATATACATTTTTTTTTTCGGTACTGGAAATCAAACTCGGGACCTCATGCTTGCCAGGCAGGCGTGATTCCACTGAGGTATATTCCCGGCCCATTACAAGCAATGATTCGGTCTATCTTTTTTTTTTTTTTTAGTACCAGGGATCAAACTCATGACCTTGCACTTGCCAGGCAGGCGCTTATGCCACTGAGCTACATCCCCAGCCACAAGTATATACATTTTTTTAGGTGTGCTGTTGCACATGTAATAAAGAACAGTGTAGTATAAAGATAACTTTTGTATGCACTGGGAAAGCAAAATTTGTTTTATTTGCTTTATTGCAGTGCTTGTTTTATCGCAGTGGCCTCCTAGAACTGAATCCCCAACATCTCTAAAGTGTATTCCTGTAATGATTTATGTATCCACCCACACCAGTACCACGTGTTCAAGTTCAGTACCACAGGTTACATTCTAGTTTTCTCCTTTGTCATAGTTGTACCTTTTTTTTTGTACTGAGAATCAAACTCAGGACCTTGAGCTTCCAGGCAGGCACTGTGCAGCTGAGCTACATCCCCAGACCTTGATTGTTTTTTGAGACAGGGTCTTACATAGTTCAGGCTGGCCTTGAGCTCATAGCAGCCCTCCTGCCTCAGCCTCCTGAGTGCTGGGATTATAGGGATGTGCCACCATGCCTGGTGATGGTTTCTTTTTTTAAAAAATTAGCTAATTGATTTTTATGGTGCTGAGGGTTGTCCCTGGTATGTCCCCTACCCTGAAGCGTTGTGTAGTGGGTCCCGGAGAGCCTGCTGCCAGGGAACACGAAGCTTCTGGTCAGGCCCTGCGTGGCCCAACTGGGCTCCGTTCTCCTTACTCTTGGACCCGTGCTGTGTCGTCAGGAGAGTGGAAGAACAGGCTCCGGCTGCCGGGTGAGCTGCCACCTGCATGAGCACCGTGCAGAGACACCCAGGGAGGGGCGCTGGGGCTGTAGGTGACGCGAGGTGGCTCCTGAGTGTGCTCAGTGGCTGCGTGGCTCCCACCCGTGGACGGCGGCCCTCAGAGGCTTGGTGAGGTGAGTGAAATCGGGAACTTCAGCCACCTTCTCTGTTTTGCTCATTGTTCCCTTGTCTTACGGGGGGAACATCAGAAATCTCATAGGAAAATGAGTTCACTTTGTGTGTCTTGCCTTGAAGACTGCTTCTTTGGTTGCTTTGGTTTAGCTTTTTTAATTTGTTTGCTTGATTGGGATTTTGTTATTGTTTGTTGGTTGCAGTACTGGGGATTGAACGTCAGGCTTCACACATGCTAGGCAAGCGTTCCACTGCGGAGCTGCATCTTCAGTCCTTTTTACGTACATACTTGCTTACTCATTTAGAGTTAGAGTCTTGCTAAGTTGCCAGGCTGCGCTTGAACTTGTGGTCCTCCTGCCTCAGCCTCTTGAGTAGCTGGGGTTGCAGGCGGCTGCTGCTGGGCTCCCTCATGCACACGGGCAGTGAATCTATGGTCCTTGCTCTCTGAATTCGTAGTCACTGAATGAACTCTGGCTGGTAGACTAGTGGGCGATAATTTAGTGCCTGTTATTTTTGTTGCAATAACTTACTCTTCCTATCTTTTATTCTCTTGTGGGTTAAGCGGTGGGGTTTTAATTTGTTCAGGAATTTGATTAATTGGATTGAATATTAACACCCTGAAAGTTTTGTTTAGTTCTGGTTTTGCTCTTTTTGATGCAGGGATGGAAGCCAGGGCCTTGAATTTGCTAACAAGTGCTCGGCCACTGAGCTACACCCCCAGCTATGGAAGTAGTTAGTGGCTACCAAGTGCCATTTTATGTTACTTTTGTTTGTTCTTTTTTTGTTGTTGTTGTTATTGTTTGTTTTTTTTTTTTTGTTTTGTTTTGTTTTTTTTGAGATAGGGTCTCACTATGTAGTTCAGGCTGGCCTTGAACTCACTGTTGCCCAGGCTGGCCTCAGACTCATGGAAGCTCCTGCCTAAGCCTCCCGAATACTGGGATTAGAAGTATGTGCCATCACGCCCAGCTCTGCTCTCAGTTTTAAGTTAGCTAATTGTTCTCATCTGTATAGTAATGTGCAGAGGTCTTTATTATCTTGTTATGGCAGTTCACCTGTGCAGAGAAGTAGGGGCATAAAGACCACATTAATAGGCCAGGCGTGGTGGTGCAACCTGTCATCCCAGCACTGCAGAGGCTGAGGCAGAGGGATCACAGTGAGTCTGAGGCCCCTCCTGAGCTGCATAGTGAGACCCTGTCTCAAAAAACCAAAACCAAAACAAACACAAATAATACCTACATGATACTTGAAAAGGTAAAGCATTTTTGAATATACAAAGGTAGAAAAGTTGGGCTATTTCTTGTATGACATTATAAGATTGTTGCTTTCACTTACATTAGGAAAATAAAGGTATACTTTCTGTGATACCAAGTTTTGGAACCTTGAAATACTTTGAGTCAGGTTTTTTTAAAAAAAAGAAAGGAAGTGGCTTGCCTCGAGTTTTAGCTGCACGTGCACCGTCTCTCCACTTGGGGGCCCCTTCTGCTCATTTCTGAGAACCAAGTCTCAGTGTAGTGCACTCTTCTCTCTTTGCAGTTGATTTTTCTTACTAAAATTAATGTTAACTAATCAAGAAATACATACATTCTCTTTAAAATAATTGTATATGTGAAGGGTCTCTCCCCTTCCTTTGTCTTCCCTCCGTTCCCCTTTCTTTTTTGAAAAGAAAGTACTTTTATCCCTGAATAATCTTCTAGGGTCAGAGGGAGATTGATA